CAGAAAATGGATAGTAGTTCTTTGGTAAACAAATGATTTCTTTTTGCTGTTTCTATAGTAACATAAGAATGCTTTAGAAATGAATGACCTCCTACAGGCAGAGTAGTACAAATTCAAGTGACATTTTCTTACAATGAGGTTTTTAGCATATCACAGGGACTTTACGTAATGTTCAGACTGCATAGTGCTGCTTCCGTCCTGACAGAAACAAGGACTCAGTGTCCTCAGGAGATTTAATGCTGTTTCATGCATTTTTAAAATTATATATTCCAAGATTTTTGAGTCTGACATTTGAAATTGACTTTTGATAATCTGTGGAAAACTATCTTATTTTTATATAGGAAATGAAATATATATCAGAAAGAAAAATTAACACAGGGGAATGTTGAATAATAAAAAGATGTTTCTAGACAGCTGAGAGTAGTGTTAACTGATTAACTCTTTGGAAAGACAGGTAAAATATTAAGGGACTGAGTATGAATTCCTGTTGGCTTTGTCCTAGAGCAGGGACTCAGGAGTGCTCTGGCCAAAGTGCCTCTGTTTTGGGTCAGAACTCTCCTGGTTTGCATCTTCTCACCTTTCTGCATTCCCAGTAGCAGAAGAGCAAGAAACCTGCTCTAACAGGGTCAAGTGAGCATTCCCTTTGTGTAGCAAGTCCTTGACTCTCCCCTCACCATGTCCACAGCCCCTCTCTACATGCCTGAAGGCTGGTACTCCAGGAATGACCAACAACTTTGTGGCTCGGAGGGAAGGGTATCAGCCGACCAAAGTGACTGCATCCTCCAATGCTGAGGAGAGTTTGACCATTAGAGTAAAACCTTAAAGTGATTCTGCTACCATTTCATCTGATGTGCGCACTTGGATCCTTGGCTGCGGCGACCTAGTCTGCTGACTTAAGAGGATACTCCTGATGTATCCCATTGTAAACAAGGCAGGACTCAGGCCATAAAGTTTTGGTATGTGCCTCTGCAAGAGAAGGCTCATTCATTGAGTTGATTCTGACCTTTTAGGATGCTGGCTTAGATCAATCTTACGTTTAACTTAAATGAAACATTGCTCTGCATGAAATTTACTGCTGCAATTTTATTTTGAAAGCTGGTTTTAAGAGCACATACAGAAAATTGTTTAAACTTTGGGCCCAAACTGCATGTGCAACTCCCACTGAAATCAGCTGGAGTTATGTAAATGTTTCTGAGGGGAAAGGCCATTTGAATAAGGCCATTTGATTTTTATGAATGTCAACATTTTAATTTTAGCTGATTCACAGTCTTGTGTTCAATAACAACAGTGATTGCTGGAGAGCTATGGGAAGTAAGCCAAGTGGACACAGGGAAACTGCTTTAATATTATATTGTGTCTCTGGCATAGAATAGTGGAAAAACTTAATATGGAAACTGGACATTGCAGAAGACCAGCACTGAGTGTAAAAGCACCTGACTGAAAGTTACTGAGTTAATTTTTGAGAGTGTGTCTGCACTGAGTGATGGTAGAGATGTACAAGGGCCTGTAGGCAGACTGCAGCTCTGAGCTAAAGACTGCTGAAGAGAATCTGATAGCCTGAAACTGGTGGACTGACTTGCTCACCCAGGCAGGAGTTTGACCTGTCCGTGCAAGCACTTTGTTTTACTGTGTACGTACTCACCGTGGCTTACATCTGTGCTTGCACCAGCTGGTTTGGTGCTCCAAAGCATTATAGGACCTAATGCCTGTTAGGGGATAATTTTCAAAAACCAACTGCTTCCTCACTTGCTGATGACTTGGGGGCTGTATGAAGCGATGAGCATACTTTAACTTCCATTTCAAGCCAGGAAAAAGCAGGATTCTTTTGACTGTTAACTACTTGCAAGCCAGCCAGCCAGCACTTTTCTTTCTTACAGTGTGCATTGTGTTTCCACACTCCTTATCCATCCTGTTTAAACAAGCAGGCAAGAAGCAGGTGTACAACAAACATTTCTGAACAAGTGGACCAAAGAACAGAATAACTGCTTAGGTGTTACAGTGGTAGATTTTTTTTTTTTTTTTTTTTTGTGAAACCTAAGCAAGGTAACTAGGTATTTTGTTTTAATCCAAGGGAAAAATATCTCATAGGTCTAATTGTATGTTTGCTAGTCACTACATTATACCAGTGTATTGTAGAGCATAAATATGTTTCCTGACTCTGAGTGTAGCAGCTTAGAGAATACTTGATGGAATCCTAATAATTTAAGACTTACAGTTGGACTGCATCTTAAACACAGCTGCTCCCCTAATACAAAAACACTTGTGGGAGATCCAGTGAAGCAGAAAAAAGCTGTCAGTGAACTTCCACCTCACACATGAGGTGCAAATCAAGTTAGTGTGTTATGTTAAAGAAATGTTCTCGGTTGCAGTGTAACATATAAAAAGTCCAATTTCCTTTGGTAGGTAAGTTGTCTTGTCAGCAGTTTCCAACTATTTGAAGTAAAAATTTTCCATTTGGTTCTAGTGGTTTGGTAGGAGTCCCAGTCCCTTTTCTCTCTCTTACCTTGCCTTATAAAAAAGACATTTAGTTCCAAAGGATATTTCTTTCAGAACCAACATATTACAGTTCTGGTGAACTGGTGTTCATTACAGTCCATTCCAAACAAATTATTTTCCTCTATTATTTAATGACCTCAATAATGACTTAATCAATAATGGTTTTAAATATGCAGTTATTTTTGCAGTGTTTCCAACATATATCATTAACTGTAGTGTCCAAGAGTAGACTTGCAAAAAATTGTGCTGTGGTAGCAGATACTTTAATACTGAAATCATGTTGTGGCAGAGCCGTGCTTTAAAGTAGCCAAAATAAAGTGACTTGTATATTTATATTACATTAAAATATGGAAAGAAAGGTTTTTATTGTGAGACATCTGTGCATTCTATCAAGTTAGGTTTTCCATATTTTTTCCATTTGGATTGCCTTAATATTTTTTTTTATTGTATGAAAAAGCCAAGATTTGGGAGTAGAAGCTTAAGAGCAGACAGAAAAATTGGTGTAATTTACTTTTGAAGGCAAATCTTTTTTTCAGGCTTCCCAGAAAGTTGGTCTTTGGAGTTTAGATTCTGCCCTGGCCTTCATTTAATGCAGCCACTGAATTCAGTGATACTGCATGAAGCATGAGCGGAGTCAGACTTTTTCAATATAACTTTTTCACTACATGCAACTGCTATTGTTGTGAAATGATAAACAAGTGAACTTTACCAAAATCTCTGTACCTTAACCTTTTTTTGAAGAGAAGGTGCCATAAATTGTGGTGATTTATATTGTGAGGCTAAAAATTAGTTTGAAGAGTGAAATTGTAAGAACTGATGCAGAGTTAGGATGGAAAAAGAATTGCCTCCAGAAGAACATGATGGTCTGTCCCAAGACTGTGAATTAAAATCAGAAAAACCCCACAACACAATGGAATTCTCTTACATGCTCTACTCGCTATATTTGACAGTCAGCTTTGTGACTGGAGTGGTACCCTCTGATTCTGTAATCTGTGTAGCTGATGAATCTTTATTATACTGTAAGCATTGTTTTCAGATAGATTGATATTAATTTCCATTCTTCATTAAGCCAAGTGGGATTAATTGGCTCAGCTTTAATGAAGTTGTGCTGGCAATGAGATATTTCCAAAATGAAGCCTTTCTACAGGTAGTTCTGTTTGCTCCTGTGGGATTATGTTTGGAAACATTGCAGATTTGTGGTGGAAGTGAAAGACAAATGAATATGAAAAGTGAAAACACAGTATATGACTTTGAGCAACTTGTTGCTCAGCCTTGGACTGAAACTGCTTCAGGCTTCTGAAAACAGCAAGGTCTGTTCTTGCAATGAGCCTAAGCAGTGGAAATTGGATAGGTACTGAATTTCTCTGTGTTCAAAGAATTTTGACTCTGTTCCTGTTGGTTGCTGTGGTATAATGTAGGGATATATTTTTGTCAGTGGAGGTAAAACTGTGATGCCATGAGGCCATCTCAAGTGTTTAAGTCCTCTTGCTAAGCAGTCTCTCAGGAATGTCCTGTAGGCCACAGAGAATACACACCAAAGAACCAAACGCTTCTGTGTGTATGTGGATCTGGTTTTGTAGATCCCTTTTGCAGATTTCGCTACAGTGAGGCCATTGCATTAAACCCACCAATCAGCACTCCTTTCCTGCCATCAGAAGCCAGCCACAGCAATAGGAAAATTGAACATATGTTATAAATGTATGTTAAACATTAAACAGAGGCACTTCTTTCATTGCACCACTTTAGACCAATGAGCTCCAATTTTAAGCAGTGGAATTACTCTAGTGTGTTAGGTGAGATTCACGCATCCAGCTGACAACTGGATTTCACAGACTAACGAGCTGTTTCCTTCGTTCCAAGCTGGCTGGAACAAACTGCAGGGAGGAAAGAGGTACAAGTCTTATGAGTGGAAAGATGGAGACTGTTTTCTACTGTAACTGTGGCATGAAGTAAACACACTGCAAATTAGTTGTAAACATAAAATGAAATAGCTAATAGATCTGGTAAGCGGTAGTCTGGAAGATAAGAATAGTACTATTAAATAAGAAGATAAGTTCTCAGAGAAAGGACTGTTTCACTCAGGTCAAAGTCTCCTTTATTTACCCCCCAGAAAAAGTTACACACATGAGGATGAAGATGAATGAATGAAATAAAATTATTTACTTGAGAGTTAAAACCTACCTAAATGAGCTGCAGCACATTTAAGCGCTGGCTTCATTCCAAGTCTGTGATTAATGCCATTTTTATTTTGCATATTCTAAAACATAACTGCTAAGTATCTTGCATGGCAAGGGATAGGATCATTCATAGTCTAAAGATAGCTTTAAGCATTTTGTTGAAAAATCCATCAATTTTCTCTTGGAACTACAAGTGTTTGTAATTGAAACTAATATTGATGGGAACAATTTGATTTTGCTCTTATGATCATTTTACTTTTCCATTTGTACTTTGCTAACTTTCGCTATTCGTATTTTAGAGACAATTTGCTCTTTTCTTTCTTGCAGAACGTGGTTCACCACGTAATTTGGTTACCACAGACATAACTGACACTACAGTTGGGTTATCATGGACACCAGCTCCAGGAGCAGTTAATGATTATAGGATAGTATGGAAATCACTTTATGATGATACGATGGGAGAGAAGAGGGTCCCTGGAAATACAGTGGATGCTGTGCTAGAAGGCTTGGAGCCAGAGACTAAATACAGGATTTCAGTATATGCAACCTACAGCAGTGGAGAGGGAGACCCAGTAGAAGGAGAGGCTTTTACTGACGGTGAGTGTAGTACAACATTACCACCATTTGTAACATTTTCTTCTTGATGAAATTATCATATTTTCAAGAAAATGGACCTTATTTTTCTTCACCTTTTTTTTTTTCTGAAAAGTAACCCCAAACCAAAATGCCACCTCAGATCAGTCAATTCTGGCTTTTTGTTTGACCATTAAAAAAAGGAAAATCTCTTCTATGTCATGTAGGTTTGGATTCAGCAAGAATTACTTCCAGATGTGGAAGTAATTACAAAATTACAAAGATGTGATTTTGTCTGCAAATTACTCTGAAGACAGCTTTTCATAGGTTTGGTGTGACTGCTGGAAATTAGGTGGAAGAAATGTTATGGATAGAGTAAGGAGGAAAGGTGGCGTAAATTCCCACAGAATCAATGAATTTCCTTTCCAAGCTATTGCCCTTTCCAGTCTTCACAGTCCTCAAACTGAGGCTCAGTGGGTGATTTTGATGTTTGTTATTTACCTTTCCTGAGGCTCTTCTTTTTTCTTATTTGATAAACGTTATGTACTATTAGTCAAAGCAGGCTCAAGCCTTTCCTGCAATGTAAGCAAAGTAAAAAACACTGAGGGGCCAGAGATAGCTTGTTGCTGTATAGCAAGAACTGGCAAGTAGTGGAGACAGAATGAATGAAGGGATGCGCTGGATCAGCCTTGATGTTTCTCTTGTTTGCCTAAAGGGGCCATGTGAAGACGAAGCCTGAGGGAGTGCTCTGGGCAAGCATCATGTGTGTTTACATGTTCTTGTACTCTTTCCTAAGCATCTGTTTTGACTACTGTTGGAGACAGACTGCTGAACTACATTAACCTTGACCCAGTGTAGTTGCTCTTAAGGTCTTGCAAGAGTAGTAATTGTTGCCATTGGTAAGAGCTGACTCCCCAGAGTCAAAGCAGACTGCTGTCCCACATCTTCCTTCTTTCTTCAAGAACAGCACATTAGCTGTCCAGCCTTCTCCAGGTTAAGTAGGAAGCTTAGCCATATTGTTTGTTGCTTCCCTCAATGTGCTGTCTGAGGGAACTTGCTGTGAGGCCTATCAATAGCCCCAGACCTAAGACTAACTAACATTGCATCTTTCTGTTGCAAACACAATTAGAAATTCTCAGTTCTTAGGACTGGGAGAGGATACTGTAGCCTGCAAAGCCTACCTTGCCATGTGATGAAATACTGACTGATTCTGGCATGGCAAGAAGGTTCTGTTTTGCCAAAACCTAGATGGCTTATTCCGGCTGACAGCCAGCATTACATACCTTTCAGTTTACTTCAGATCATTTGTAACATTTGTACAGTCTGGAAAATATCTCTTAGAAGCCGAGTGCTGCAATTTGTAGAGAAAATGCTTTATTAGTCTATGTGCTTATTTCAGCACATATACTATCCTGCAAATAGTGGTGAGTGATTTTCCAAGCATTTGGAAAGTCACTCACCACTATTTGCAGGATAGTTTGTATGGAGACCAACACCCAGCAGTTTAGGTATATACCAGTACTTTATCAGGCCTGTAAACTCGAAACTTAGAAAATCTTAACTTTATAGGACATTGTGTTCATAAAAAAACAATGGCTTTATAATATATCACTTTCATTTGAGAGCGCTGAATCCATTACTTAACAGATTACTGGAAAGTGTGACTAAATAAAACTCCCAGTGTGTCATCGTGTAATTTATACTTCCCTCTTTTTTTCTCTGTAGTGGAAAGCACACTTATGTTTGTTTAGTCCATTACAGTTAAAAAATAATTTAACAATGGTCTGTGAGATTGCCCTGTGTCTTCCCCACAATCAAATACTGTAATTTTAAAGAGGGCAATTCAATTTTTTTTTTAATACAGCAGAATGACTGTTGTAGGCATGCATTTGAACATATCTTTATGTGACAAAGTAAACATTTATCTGTATTTTTACACTGAAAAGTGTCACCAAATGCCAGGACTGTGACAGTAGACAACGAGACAGAAAATACAATGAGAGTTACATGGCAGCCTTCACCTGGGAAAGTCTTGTCTTATCGTGTGTACTACCGACCACGCAGTGGAGGAAGACAGATGTTTGGAAGAGTAAACGCTCCTGCTACAAGCATAGTGTTAAAGCGACTTAAGCCACGAACTACATACGACCTCAGTGTTGTTCCAATTTATGATTTTGGACAAGGAAAATCAAGAAAAGCAGAAGGAACAACAGGTATGTATCACAAGCTTGTACAGGATTTGATAATTACAGTTTTGTGCTTAAAATTAATAATCATGATACATAGAAAAGTATGGTGGAGTCTGCCAAGACTCCAGGCAAATTGAAGAAAATGTTAGAGGTTGAGAAGAGAGTTTGATTTGTTGGAAACTTCGCTATGGCATGGCCTGAGCACAGCTTTTTGCTGTTGATATTGGTGGTGTAAATATGGTGTAAAATCTGGTTGAAAATGCTGGACTTGTTTTGAAACACTGTCATCAGAAGTAAAACAAGATGTTTTGTGAGGAAGACAGTCTACCAACAGACTACTTAATCAAGTGTTATCAGTTGTTTCATAATTTGCCTTTTGGTCCTGGGTGTTGATTAAATAGCTACCCAGCATCCTGTTACTTAGATTTGTCTTCTTTGATCACCATATTCTTTGTGGAAAACCTGAGGTAATAAAAAAGGGGAGTAGATGATTTTGAAGAGTCAACAGTGGAAGCCTGACCTCAGAGACTATGGTCTTTTGGACAAGCTGTCTTCTCTCTCAAAAACTGAAACTCTAAAACGTTTATTAAGTCCTGATGAGGACTCATTTTCTACTCTGCTTTTAGTATGTATCTGATGCTGGTCTTTCATTTTGTAAGGAAATGTTCTCTTGCTATCCAGATCAAATCAAACAGATTTAGAGTCAGTTTTCTGCTTCCATAGATAGAGATCTATTATCAAAAGAGAATTTTTTTCAAGATGTTTCTGCCCATGTGGGACTAGTGCCATTCTCTGTTCTCTGAACATATGTCATATTGAATGATGACAGGAAGTAAGAAACAAGTCTCCTAACAGTGGATATATTGTTGGATCCTCAGTTACTGAAGGAAGATTTCTTTTTAAATTAAAATGTGGTTGATGTAGAGGAGTCATGAAAACTTGATCAGCTCTTGACCAACAACTAGCTTTTCAATCCTGAAAATTATACTGAGATAAATCTCAGATCATCCAGCTGCTTTTGATTTTTGACCTGTTCATCTTGATACAGATACGCCTCTGTGCTTTCAGTGTAAATAATTGTGGTGGTAATCACTCTTTGGAAGCAAATGGAGCCTGAGTGATCTTGTTAGTTGAAGCTGTCATGATAATTCAGGGAGGAGTATCATGGGAGATGAGACAGAGACGCTGTATTTTTCCTTGTGAGTCAGAGTGTACGTACTGTTTCTCAGCAGAATTCACAATCTGAGGTAATTTGTGATCTTTCAGCTACAGTTAGACAATTGCATAGGCACAGGGATAAGACAAACTCTTTTTATTTTCCCTCCACCTTTTCACTCCAAAGCTATAGTGGTGACTTTCTGTTTACTTTAATTTCCATTTTTGCAACTTTGAGATTACGCTGCTGCAGTATTTTCTACGACTTTAGATTGTGCACTTTAGATTTACACAAAGGCAAAAGTGGTGCAGAAGCTAGCAGCAGGCTTGTTAACCACACTCTCTGTCTGTGAGGACCGACCTGCACTAGGTAACCATTAGTCTTCAGAGGAAATCGCTCTTGACCTAAAAACCGCAAGCTGTTTGGCTGGCACTCCTCTGAATAATTATTTTTTGACATGCTGCCACACCTGTGATTGGTGAAGTTGCTTGAGCTGCCAGGCCCTGAGTGTGTGAAGGGAGAGGACTGTTGGCAGGACCTTTTCTACAAAAGCATCCTTGCTTCCACCCTCTCCATGCTCTAACCTGTGGGACCCAGAGCTCTGAGGAAGCAGCTTGAGAAGTGATATTGGTGACTGAGTACTGGCTGGGTGTGACTTTTGCCTGCAGTAAATTATCTTTTTTTCAGTGTTGTTTTGAGAGGAAGCTGCTTCCATTTCTCTCTTTTGGTTTATATGGCTCACCTTCTTGTTGCCATGTAAAAGAGGGAGGGCTAGTCTATAATTAATAAAGAGAAAGACTGATGGTGGTTAGTCCACCTATAGTCAACATGTATTGTAAGATCAGATGGATGTTTAAGACAGGTGAGATGAATTGCTGTCTATCCCTCAGTCCATTGACTGTAGAGGGAGCCTTGACAACAAACTTAGCCCACCAATACCTATTGGTTAGGTAGCTAAAATTAGGTGAAGTGACTCTCACCTTTCATCTCTTGATACTTGTCTTTATGTCAAAGGGAAGGCACAAAGAGTTTAGGGCTGTCACTAATACTGGATTTGCATATAGATTTTTACATAAAAGCATACTTGTTGATTCTTTTTCCATAACCAGACCTGATTTAAATTCTTTTTTCCCATCCTTGCAGCCTCTCCCTTTAAGCCACCTCGAAATCTGAGAACTTCTGATTCAACTATGTCCAGTTTCCGAGTAACCTGGGAGCCAGCCCCAGGGCGAGTGAAGGGGTACAAAGTAACTTTCCACCCTACTGAAGATGACGGGAGTCTTGGAGAATTAATAGTGGGGCCGTATGACAGCACAGTGGTATTGGAGGAGCTTAGGTATGGATAATAATTCGTATCTTTTTTTTTTAAATAACTTTAGCTTAGGGTTTTGTTTAATCATGATCTGGGATTGAAATGCCTGGCAAAATCTACTGTAAGTAAGAAAGTAGTTTTGTCAATAAGCTACGAGGATCTTGTTATGCAGTTTCTGAAAGGCACCTGGCAGGGCTCTTTCTGAGATTATTCACATCACTTATGGTGTTCTCACAGGAACTGAAGGAGGCGAAGATATGGGCAGAGGCTGTGTTCCGTGTTTCACATATGAGAAAGCTAATGGGACACTGGAGAAAGCTGGGATTTCTAAAGTTTCCTCCCAAAAGTTCCTTACCTCATGTTAAAAAAAACCCCAACAAACTAGTTTAGTTCTTGATTTATTTTCTCAGAGGCCTGGATTTATAAAGTAGGCTTTGGACCATGTCAAAATCATTTTGCAAATAAATATATTAAAAATAGGATCATTAATTAATTATTATATTAGTCTTTATTAATCTTAAATTACTTGAATGAAGAAGGCTATAAATTTAAGTATATAAATCTAGAATCAGCTTTTAAATTGTCGAAACTTCACTGTCTTGTGGAAGAGTTAGTCTTTGGGCTTCACGTTTTAGCATCTTCTTTTCCATGGGTGATTTTTTTCTGTGAGGATTTCATAAGTGAAGTGTCAGCATTTAGCTAGCCAAGTGACTTCAGTTACAGTACATTTGTTTAATTATTGCAGGGCAGGAACTACCTATAAGGTAAATGTTTTTGGAATGTTTGAAGGAGGAGAGAGCAGCCCCCTGGTTGGACAAGAGATGACCACCCTTTCAGATACTACTTCGGAGCCATTTTTATCTAGAGGTAAACATGACTGAATTGAAGAAAAGGCAGCCTTGGCTTTTGGATAAAAAAAGACCAAAAGTTTACCAGCGTTTCCTTATCGTTTTTCTAATGCACATAAATATTTATTTACAGGATTCAGTATACTCCCTACCCTGATGGCATAACCTCTGGTCTGAAATGACCACTAAGTATGCCCCAGTTCACGATTCTAGTCCTCTGCACCCTTTCGATGATCTTACAAAGATGATAACTCAGGCAACCCATGTTTTGCTGATTAGTCAAATCCATCTGCATTGCATTTTCAAGCCATCCACATCTGTGTTAAATTGCATAAGGTCAAATTCTTGAACAGAGATCATAGCTCATCTACAGGGGTGTTCATAGGAGTAGAACAAAGAATTTTAAGCAGATCTTTAGCCCTTTGCTTGTCCTTCTATGGTGACTTTTCCTTTTAAGACTAAGATGGTGTAATGAACAAAGATCTGATAGTTGGGAATGTCCCAGTGTTATTGTGTATTATTTGAGTTTATATGCAACATAACCATTATTTAGTCTTTTTTTTTTTTTAGTGTAGAAGGAGGAGACTTAGTTCAGAAATGCAACTGCTGAGAGCTCTCTAGAATCTGTTTGGGAGTTTCTCCCTGTGTAGCTAAACCTTGCAGTCAAAGTTTCTATGAATGTTATGATAGCAGCTCCCTTGGTGTGGCATGGGCCTCTGCATGCTAATAGTTATGTCCGCCATACTCTCAATTAATATTGGATGAAGAGAGTTTCAGGGTTCAGTCCTCCTTTCATGGAAAGCATAAAGAAGTAGGTCTTTGCTTCTTAATAGTCAAGTATACATGTAGAAGTAAAAACTTTTCTCCTCTGCCATTTCAAGGCTTGCATAGCCATCAGAGAGAATTTGGTGAGGAGGAAGAACCTAACTGCAAAGGCCTTTCAGAGTTAAATAATATTTCTGACAGTTGACTCTATATTCTTTTTGCTTAATCTCTTTGATGCCTTGTTTCCACACTGGGCCGTGTAAAAAATATTCACTTCATGTAACTTTATTGATAACATTTTTAGAAACTTCTTAATTAATAGCCGTCCTATTCTGTCTAATACAAGAGAGTAAAACTGAGAAAAACGATGTAACAGGCCATCAGTCTGTAATAAGCTGTAAAGCTGTAATAAGTCTGGCAGAAAAATAATTGCACTGAGAGTGGTTTGTTATTTTTTATTACAGCAGCTGTCATTTCTGTCTTCAGTGTTATATTCTTTAAGCTGATTAGTTTTACTAATGCATGGATTTGAGTCATGGTTAATGTGAAAAAATATATCTGGGACTGTAAATGTAATAGTACATTATTTATTAATAGGGGAAAAAAAATCACCCTAGGTCTGGTGCCTTTGCTAGAATTTTCCATGTTGGAACAATGGTAGTTGGAAGAAAAATAAAAGTCAAAATAGTTTTAACTTTTATGTTGTACATGAAGCTAACTTTAACTTCCGTATTAAAGTGATGCATGCAATTTTTTGAACTAACATGGTTTTACTTAAACCCTACTCCCAACTGATTTTATTGTCCTGACTAAAGACTAGATCTATATTTTCTATGCAGAAGAGGATCATGCTTTTAACCCCCAGGTACATGGAATAGTTATATTCATGAGTCTACAGTGTTGGATCAATTATGTGGAACATATATGAAATCACAATATCTTTCAACTGTGATGAGTGTGGCTGATTTTTCTCAATGGGATTTCTTCCATATAAAGACCAGAAGCTCTGATGGCAGGAAGCCAGAAAATTTGCAGCTGGTAACACAATCTACAGGAAAAGAGAGAGAGCAAGGATTTTTTTTTTTTTAAAAATGGCTGTGGATAAAATCATTGTGTCTGTCTGTTTTGTATAAATATTTTGTGATTTTCCTTGTGATGAAAACCATATGATGCGTATTTTATTCTGTAATTTGTAAACTGAAGATATCTGAAATAACTTCCTACCTTTTCAGAACATTGCAGCTTTATATAAATGTTTGTTATTGTTCCTTCTCTATCTCTTGACCTGTGTTTATGTTTGTGTATCTTCTTTAAATTTTATTCTTTCTTTCCTGGACATGCAAACTTCTATACTACCTGTATTACTATGTCTTTTCCCCCTAAAAATTCAGAAATGCTATGTATTTGAAAGTGGTTGCAATATATGCTATTAATTCCACTATTGCATAGTTGAAAATTAAGCAGTAGTTTAGCCAACCATGACAGACTAAAATACTGTAAATTTGGATAATCTGATAATGCTCACTGCCATGTCAGTGGTTAGCTTAGTGGTCTTTTACAAAACCTCTGAAATCAGGTTATCCACCATCTTTGAAGACCAAAACAGATAATGAGATGACAATAGAGAAGAGCACTGGCCTTGACATTTGTGAGGGCTTATTTATAAAAGGAAACATACATGAAGAAATTTACGCAGCTTTTGCCATGGAACCAGTGACTAGTGTGAATAACGTTCACAAATAGGTCATACTTGACAGAGTGCCAGTGAATAAAACTAGAGCTATTTTGGAAGCTAACTCATGACATATGTCATATAAAAGGATGGGGAAAGAAAGCTATCATGCTAAGGCTATATTTTTCTGGTTGAAAGCTATCATGCTAAGGTTATATTTTTCTGGTTGACACGGCAGGTTTAGAATGTAGAACCAGAGCAGAAGCTGATATCGTGCTGCTGGTGGACGGCTCATGGAGTATCGGGCGTCCAAATTTTAAAACTGTCAGGAACTTCATTGCCCGTATTGTTGAAGTTTTTGATATTGGTCCTGACAAAGTACAGATTGGTAAGTCCTCATATGTTGGAGGGAAAATGAGGCGTAACTGCTACACAGCCACATAATAACTGAGTAATGATGGCTTTTTTTCCAGGTCTTGCACAGTATAGTGGAGATCCCAGGACAGAATGGAATCTCAACGCTTACCGAACCAAACAGGCTTTGTTAGAGGCTGTAGCCAACTTACCATATAAAGGAGGCAATACTCTAACAGGTATGTCACACTGCCGGGATTTTCCTTAAGCTCCAATAAAAATAATTCTAGTAGCTGACCCCAGTATTGTTCAGTGACCTCAAATTTATCCATGATGAAAGGGCCTTACAGTTCAATTCAGTATGTTTGGAAGAGAACAGGTATAGCATGTAGACATATAAACTCAGTGGAAATCTGGAGAAAAGTGATGGAGGAGAGCTTGGGTGATGAAAACTTGGTTTGCTGTTGAGCATATGGGAAGAAGAAAAGGCAGTACCATGTCAGGGTTGGGATGAAGACCCAGAAAGGGGGCTAGAGGAGATCAGATAGGAGGGTAATGCGTAAAAGATAAAAGATTAGAGACTTTGAAAGGGCTGAAATAGTATCGGTTGCTGGTAAGTCTAGACGATATGCTGCAGCTAGATTCTGAGTGCTTCTAGAAGGAAGTAAATTGTGGAATGATGTTGTCAGAGGAAATCACTGGAATGAAATACTCTCCTTTGTCGTGACTACTATGTGGAAATAGTATATAGTGATGGTTACCTTCTTTGTATCATGCTAGGAATGGCCTTGGATTTCATCTTAAAAAACAACTTCAAACAAGATGCAGGCTTAAGACCCAGAGCTCGCAAAATTGGTGTTCTCATCACTGATGGCAAATCACAAGATGATGTAGTCACCCCTTCAAGAAGACTCAGAGATGAGGGAGTGGAACTTTATGCAATTGGTAAGTATTCTATGAAAAGGTGGCCTGCGCCAGCCCCCTCCTGCCCATCTGCTAAATGCACAGGGAAGTGGCAACATACATAAGTACCTAAAAGGATATTCAAAGAATGTGTTTGGACTTTGGACTTAAGTTCATGGCATTGTGTTTCATGGCTGTAATTTCTAACAAGTTTTGTCTTCATGTCTTCTCTGTAAGGTATTAAAAATGCAGATGAAAATGAATTGAAGCAGATTGCAACGGATCCAGATGACATTCATGCTTACAATGTTGCAGATTTCTCCTTCCTGGCTAGCATTGTTGATGATGTAACCACAAATCTGTGTAACAGTGTGAAAGGTCCAGGTACATCACATTTTCTTTTCAATCTAATTCATCCTTTTTCCATTTACGTGCTTGCACTGCTAATTCCTTTTTATTACTTACTGGGAACACTGTGTAGCCCTGGGCTGTTTTTTCAGCTGCTGGTGTGAGGAAGTTGTGCAGACCACCTGGACTACCCTGTAGGGGTTCTTCTTTTCCTTTCAACAATGACTGTGTTATACCTAACACAGCATGACACAGCTGGACGTGCCTTCTTTTCTCACAGAATCAGGAAGTATGTTGCTCGGTGTGTCACCTTTTTGCTCATTGTGGCAGGTTCTTTGATGATACTCATCCAATAAAGAAAATTTCAGCAGCCCTGCTCAAGTATTAATGTCTGACAGCCCAAAAGCAAAGCCTGGCATGGAAAAACAGTAATGTTAGCTGATGGTTCTCCAGTGAAACACTGGTGTTGAAGGTGGAGTAGGAATGATAGAGAGCTTGTTTGGTATTGAGGGTGTGATGGTGAGCTCTCTCTTCACACAGTTGCTTTAAGAATTCCTGAGGAAACAGAAACAGAAGCAAGTACCTAAAGTGTTTTTTTTTTCCCTAAGCAATTTTTTTTTGTCTCATGTTTTTATTCCTGATGATATAAGATAAATTAATAATTTTTTAATTTGCTTCCACTTGTAGGTGATTTGCCACCTCCCTCTAACCTAGTTATTTCAGAAGTGACACCTCGTTCTTTCAGACTGAGATGGAGTCCACCTCCTGAGAGTGTTGATAGATACAGAGTTGAATATTACCCCACCTCTGGAGGTAGCCCTCAACAGGTTAGTACTGTATGTTCATCTCTGACATTGTCCATAATAACCTTGGACTTCCACATCACAGTAATGTCATTCTGAAGTTTGTGCTGTGTATGGTATAACAGTAAATGAAAAAAGGCTCCCAAGGTCAAGAATATCATGCCTAGTAAATGATACAAAAAGTAGGAGCATAAAGATGACTTTGGTTGTTTTAAAATCATGAATCCAGAAGTAAAATGTATTTCTTAAAAATACTTGGCAGGTGTTTCTAGTAATTCCTTTCTGTTCCTATTCCACTGTCATATATTGGTTTAAATAAGTCTGAAGTAGAAATTTTCAGAGCATACTCATGGGTAGGCTCACTGTCCTTTTAGTACATTTTCTTGTTAATAGAAAAAAAGACAGTGGGTGATACAGGTTGTGAGGTACTGCTTAGATTAACATTGCATGATAGTACTTTGAATCTGTGCCTAAGCATATCCTCCAAACTGTTTAATGCAGAGGGTCAAACTCATCTTGTGGTTATTACTTCTCTACACAGAGAGCCAGTAACTGGCAACCCTTGATTCTAGGCAATCTGAATTGCTCGTCACTCTCTTCAACCAGACAGAATAGTATTTAGGTGAATGAAGTTAGGCGCCTCTGTGTACCTAATTCTGAACTTCCAATCTTTGAATGTGGCTTTTAAATCTTAACTCAGATTTGACTCATGGAGAATTTAGTCTTAGTAAGTCACGACCTCAGGATTTGGCCTTTAATTAAGGTTGGAGCAGTCATTCCAGTGCACACTGACTTTACAGCTTGACTGCTTGCTGGCATTTCTGTTCTGCAAGATGTTGCTAATACCATGTGCTGTAACCATCTAGATTATGCTGGGCGTTTAAAACTTTTTTCCAAAGTGGTAACATATATCCCTGGCACTTTCTTTATGTTGCTGAGTAATATAAAAGTGTAAAACATGTGAAAGCAGGATGCACAGTGAGTGCTGCTAGATACATCTAGCTCTGTTGAAAACAAGTGTCTGTCTGAGGTTTCCCTAAAATGATATACTGTCAGACAAAATACATAGAAGATTAAGACAATACTTATTTTTAGTTCCATACCATTGGTTTCACAAGGAATAATTTTTTTTCTTAGAGATAAGATTACAAATGCATTTTTGTGCAGTGGTTAACATTGCTTCTCTTTTATGTAGTTTTATGTAAGCAGGATGGAAACAACGACAGTTCTGAAAGATCTGAAACCTGAAACAGAGTATGTTGTTAACGTGTTTTCTGTGGTAGAAGATGAAAGCAGTGAACCTCTAATCGGCAGGGAAACAACTTGTAAGTTAGAAACGGAACTTGAATAATGTGTTAACAGCCAGTTTGGCATCTGGGGAACTGTCCAGTAGAACTTTTAGCACTATGGGGCTTTCTTCTTAGAGGAAACAAAATTTTTAATTTGAATGACCAAATTATGTTGTGTTACACTGGTTGTTCAGATCTTGACTGGAAAACTTTAGCAAAGTGAAACTGCAGTGTGGTAAAAAATGTTTGTCCCAGCTTCTTTCCAGGCTCATAAAGCATGGCTGTACAAGACTAGAGCAACAGACATGAATAACAAGACAGAGTTTATAAATTCCTGAAATCTGGTCGTATACAAATGTGTACTGCTTCATTTTTATGCTAGATCATTAATTTCTGCTACTAGCAGCCAGAATACTATAGAAATTCATTGTAATTTTATAAGATTAACAAAAAGCCAGTTCAACAAAATGACGTCACTTCTATGAGACATAACTTAGCCATGTTTCTGCTATTAGCTGTCTGCATGATTGGTTTTAGGTATATTTATGCTGAATGCAACATAGGTGACTTTTCTGCCTCTGTAAGAATATTGAATATTGGGTGTTCATGTCACTACTTTGATTGTTTTCTATTAGGCTTGTCATAAACTCTTAAAGTACATACATGATTTTTGTGAAGTCTGTGGTAATTTTTGATGTTTATTTAATAATTTGAGAAATATAGAAAACAAGAAGAAAGTACAAAAAATCCTTTTACAAGTACGGATCCCAAACCAGTCATGTTGTTTCATATTAGAGCATTCATATGAGTTAATGTTGCTTTTTAGAATATTCAAGTGTTCCAGTGCAGACTTGTAAGATAGTTTTAGCTGCGTGTATACCAAATCTGTAGCACATCCAAAATGTGATGACCATTACCTCATTCTTAAACTAAGCACCACTTAAAATACCACTACTTGCAGATCACCTTTCTAGTACCCATAATGTACCCTAATACCCATGTGCAATATTCTCAGTGGTACTACCTGTGATGTGAAATATGAAAAGTGAAGAAGGTGAAGGAAATAAATTAATATTTTTTTTTTATTTGACAGTGCCAATTTCTTCAGTTAGAAATTTGAATGTTTATGACATTGGATCAACTTCCATGCAAGTGAGATGGGAACCTCTCAATGGAGCTACTGGTTATTTGTTAACATATGAACCTGTGAATGCCACAGTCCCAACCGCAGAGAAAGAAGTAAGAGAATTTGTCTTCACTTCCTGTACTCTGCCAAAAATAAATTATGAAAAACTGATAGATTTTCTTGATCTATCATAATAGTCAAAAGAGACTGGCATGTACTTCTTGAAGTGCAGTGAACTTACTGGGATATTTTATACAATGACATCAGTCAGGAAGCTGTAAATATACTGTGAATCTCACAAACAAAATTCCCTTGAAGTTAAATCATTGCTTGCTTTTCTGCCATTGCTTTCTTCAGATTTTAAACATGGTGTGTTATTTTTCATGTGCAGATGCGTGTTGGACCATCAGTGAATGAGGTGCAGCTGGTAGATCTCATCCCCAATACTGAGTACACTTTAACAGCTTACGTATTGTTTGGTGATATCACCAGTGACCCACTCACCACCCAGGAAGTGACATGTATGGACATCTTGATTTTTGCTTTGTTGTTGCTTCAGCAACATTTAATTTTAGTTTTCTTTCATGCAACAGTTTTTATATATTCTGTTTTGTTTAGAAGACCGTCTTTTCCATGTTTCATGCATTTTCTAACACTCATACATTTCCAAAAGAACTTAAAGGCAATTTCAATGAAAAGGCACCAACTATTAAAAGAGGAACAAAAGAGTTTTTTCCTTGAATAATGAAGGAAGTTGGCTCGACAATCTTGAGGCTATAGTGCTTTTGAAAGGTCTCAATTTTGCTTGCATTAACTTAGAAACCTTGTTCCCGAATTCAGACATTCTCTTAAGTATAGAAAATGCTAAGGAAACATGCCATATCTAGAAAAAAATTGATCTAAACATGGCTTCCTTTTTTATACCTTTCATTAAACATCTTTCATTAAACATTTCCTACTGGCAGAGGCATGTTTCTGGCCTAGATGCACGCGGTATGGTTATTTGTATGTTCTTAAAAAATGTTAAACCCTTAACTGTACACGAAAAAGTGGCTGTTGTCACCAAAAGTTACAATCTTAAGCACTGATACTTCTAAAAGTATTGTGCTTATAATTTACGAAGGTGAAGCTACCATAGTTTATAGCTATTTTGCTCATTGCTGGGACAATAATCTCCTAAACTGCTTCATCTAATGGCCAGAGCAAGGAACTTCCCAGAAAGTTATTGCCTCCATTTCAATGAAATGCATGAAAAGAATTTAATTCCTTCTGTGAGAGACCTATACCTCTGCTGTGAACAGCATTTTCACTTACTACTGTCATTATTTTTACAGTACCTTTGCCTGGACCTAGAGGCTTAACAATTCAGGATGTTACTCACAGCAGCATGAATGTCCTTTGGGATCCGGCCCCAGGGAAAGTTCGAAAATACATCCTAAGATACAAAATAGCTGATGAAGCTGATGTAAAGGAGGTAAATGACAGGAACATTTTTGAAAGTACTAGAAGGCAGTTTTATTTTGAGGAGCTAGGTTACTAAAATAATAGTTAAAGTAGTATTATAAGCCACCATTGAGAATAAAGAACATCAGTTCATGGTGATTGCAGTCAGGAAAGGGTACTCGTTTCTTGGAAACTGAATAAGCAAGAGAGAGATTTCTTTATGTACTCCCCTCTTCCTCCTCCTCCTCCAGAGAGGGAAAATCCTCAAACTGACTGGAGAATTTTCCTGTGCTTTGATAAATAGCCATTTCTACTCTCTTGCCATTTCTACTTATCTTCCCAAGCTCTAAGAACAGTTTACAATTAGGAGGACAGGATTGTGGAATAAAGGTATGTTAACTCCTTTGCCCACTGTCAGAACATGTGTGACCATTGTTAGAGATGGCTTTGAGTTATGTGTAAGCTTTCCATAATTGCACTGTTAGGCATGAATCAGCTCTTGGAGGATTAAATGTGTTTTTGTAAGGGAATCAGAATTTTCTGGAGATGCAGTCTGCATCCTTGTTTCCAAAAGAATGAAGCAGTGAAAGATCCACAAGTAGTATTAGTATCTGAGACGATATACTTTGCAAGGGAGTTAGTAGATAGCACTCAATATTCAGGTGTAAATTTAGGGGTAAATGGCAAAATTTAGTGCCGAATACTTTTCTGTTTTTCAGTACAGGAATTTCTGCCGTTAATCAAATGCAGAGTCAAAAATAGAAAAATTTACAATTCTGAAGTCACTATTTTTATGCTTAGGTGGAAATCGACAGACTCCAAACCAGCACTACTCTCTCTGACCTTTCCTCCCAAACACTGTATAATGTAAAAGTTGTTGCTGTATACGATGAAGGGGAATCCCTACCAATAAATGCAGAAGCTGTCACTCGTAAGTTTTCCTAATAACCCTTCTTGTGGTTATTTTTGCCTTATGTTCTATTTAAGTTGTGTTTGTTGCAATATATTACTGAGTTTAGGTGGAACTGTAATTTAATCTATCTGAGAAATATTTTACTTGCATTTGTAGAATATTTGCATTATAATAATCCCTGGGAATCTTGGATGAGTTCAGTGTCTTACTGCAGTAAACACTGAGCCTGCAGTCTGCAGAGAGGCAACAGACCAGCAACTGAAGCAAAATTATTTGTGTTTAGAGGCTGAAGGAGGAATGTAGGGGTAGAATTAGTAAGAAAATATGAGGGCAGAGGAAAGGTTTAGCAAGTCTATGCAGGAATCTAGGAAAGTAAGTAGGAAACTGGGGCTGGAGGATTAGAGAGACATGATCTTGCTTCTGATCCAAGAGAGTTTTTGTACCATGGAATGCTAAACCAGCCTGTACTTTCAGAGAATCATAAAGGCAGCATTTGAGTAATCTCAACAAATAGAGGCAAGGAAATGGTGTTGCACAAACGGTAAGAGCCGATCTCCGTACAAGGGAAGCAACAGACTGAAAGTAGAAAGCTGATATCAGAGAAGCCCTTGTCTTGATCTAGGCTTATGATTTAAGAAGACAGCTAACCAGAAGAGCTAGAATAGAAATGAGCAATGTTGCCTTATCACTGCCCCTCACTCTGATGTGAAAAAAAGAGAAAAAACATGCACGTGCTCCCTTTTTTTTTTTTCTTTCTTCTGAATTTTTAATTTTGTAGCCTGGTGTATTTAAAAATGTTTGTGAGGTTTTTTTCTTACTTTTGTGCTGGCCTTTCTTCTATAGCTGTGGTTTTGTGTAAATGTGTGTGTAAGGAAAAAGAGGAAGGCTCTGCCAAAGAAATTATTTTTAGTTTAATTCTCTGGTTTTACCTATTTACTCATTTCTTTCCAGTGGCTATAATATTTTGCCTCCTTAACCTACAGTTAACCTCTGTGAATTCTTTCTAAATAAGTGGTGTAATTCAGTCATGACTTATTTGGCTTATATAAAGAATTTTAAGATCTGGGAGAAACTCATGCAGGAGCTTGACCTCTGTGTGTGGGAGTTCATAATCACTCCTTCTAACTCCAAAATGTAAGAGCTAGGACTTTGGTTGTTGTGAGCAGGCATGTGAGTTGTGACCTCTACTGAGGTCAGTAGAGCTACGTTTGTTCTATCTGGTGATGACCTGGTCATGTGACCTTATGAAGGATGATTTGCTTAGTGTAGGTGGGCTGGGTTATACTACGGCATTTTATTTTAGTCATTAGAAGCATGGTAACTGAGAGATGAATCTTCTACATAATGTTCTAAATTCTTTGTCTGAGTAATTCCTTGGTTTAACTGTATTTATTTTGTAGTTACATTTTGTGGAATACTGTCCCTTTTCTCATAATAGAGCCTGTACCAGCACCAGTCAATCTCAGAATCACAGATGTAACCACTAATAGTTTCAGAGGAACTTGGGATCATGGAGCTCCAGATGTCTCTCTCTATAGAATAACCTGGGGACCCTATGGAAGGTCGGAAAAACAGGAGGTAAGAATAGATAGTCACCATAAGATTTTGTGGGCAGTCTCTCAGAGGGTATATTTTTAAAATCAGAAATGTAGTTAATAAATGGCCTATAACCTGCAAGCCCTCCTGTTGTGCTCAATGGAAATTCAGTGAGAAGGTGTAGAACACATAGTTACACCCACTTGTAGTGATGGTACTGTGTAAAAAGTTACTCAGTTATATCCCACTCTCTGTTTGTTTGTTTTGGTTTGTTTGTTTTGTTTTTATTTATTTTTTTTTTTACTTTTTTTTAATTTCTCCACAAGACTATCTTAAATGGAGATGAGAATAGTTTGGTCTTTGAAAATTTGAATCCAGATATCTTATATGATGTCTCAGTTACTGCCATCTATCCTGATGAATCAGAAAGTGATGACCTCATTGGCAGTGAACGAACACGTAAGTAAATAAAGGGTTTCTGCATGTTGTTATTCATAGTTATTAAATCAGAAGGCATACACATACAAGAATTCTGAAACTCTTTCTACTTTTTTCTAGTACCCTTGGTGCCTATCACCACACAAGGTAAGAATCTGAATTTCCAGGTATGGTATTATTAAAGAAAACTCATAGCTATCTTCTTCTAAACTGTGAGGAATGTTGACATTAAAAAGCTGAGATCATTTAATAAATATTATTGTGTATTTGGAAGAATACTAAACACTAGATTACCAAACGTTTATTATTTTACAAACATTACAGTTTATGTTGTCTTATACTTAATACATTCTGCTCTTGGTCAGGCATTCATGCAGCCCTAAAAGTACAAATGAAGTGTTTGTCCCTGCTTTTTACTTGCATTACATATTTATTCTTTTCTTTATTATGTTTCTCAGCCCCAAAGAGTGGCCCACGAAACCTTCAGGTGTACAATGCAACTTCACACAGTTTGACTGTGAAGTGGGATCCTGCCAGTGGTCGAGTGCAGAGATACAGGATCGTTTACCAGCCTATCAGTGGGGACGGCCCTGAACAGTCGGTAACTAATTTTGAAGTGCTATAGTTATTCAACCTTAAATGATAGTTCTGCAATCCATTAGAATAATTTATTTTCAAAGCACAACAGTGTATATATTAATTACCTTTTAGGTGAAGATTTATATTTATGGTGAATAAGTATATATTCCCACCTTTTTCTTTCTCCCCTTTCAAATCCAACATAGAATGCTTTTTATGGAGCAAAAATAACTTTGGATACAGCCTGTTTTCTTGAAAATCACATAATCTATATATATAACTAGAATAAAGTTAAAATGTGTTGAGGAACAAGTCAATCAGCACATGAGACTACAAGTCACAACAATCAATAGTATGAATGACCATGACTACTTCCATAGTCCAGAGTTTTCCATTGTTTTCATAGTGTAGTTCATGTGCTATCAGAGGGACTTTGCCGTGGAACATACTGTGGGCAGCTGAGACTGTCTCTTACCACGCTAGGGACAGAATAACCACCCAGAAGCGACAGCTGCAAAACCAAATCCATGTGAAACATACGCTAGGGAAGTGTTTAAGGTATTTTAGTGTCTTTTAATATGATTGAGCAGCTGTAATGATAGGGAGAGCCAGCACCGTATGATCAGCCAGCTTTCCCTGCATCGTCAGCAAGAGCTGTGTTGACTACTGGCGGCCTACGCAACACAGCCTGGGAATGGTAATTCAGTCAGCCTGTTTATCAGAAATGTGTGCTACTTAAAAATGCCCTATTCTGCAGTGGGAGGCTGTTGTGGTTACTGCCAAATGACTCAGAGGAACAGTCTCAGATGAAAACCACACTCATTTAGCTTGTTCCTGTAATTGAAGATCACACATGTTCAGAAGCATGTCTAGGAATGTTTACTTTAGAATCATAGAATCATTAAGGTT